TAAATAAAAATTAGTTTAAAAAAATGAAAAAGTTTCTAAAAAAATAAAATATTCAAATTTGAAAAATTTAAATAAAAACATGTGTGTGTGGGGGGGAGGTGCAGGGTACAGTTCCAGTGGTTGTTTATATAATGGGGGGGGGGCGAAAAAAAAATTCTGCCCCGGGCGCCCAGAACTCTGGTTACGCCACTGTTGCTGACCTCCTTCTGAAGATACGTCTACAATAAGCTCATTTGTGAGGGAAACATCTCAGTGGATGGTGAGGCTACTGCAATAATAAAGTTGCATGCAAATGGGTGTCTGATTTGTGACCTCTATTTCCTGTAAACCAAAGTCCAATTCTAGCTTGAACAACAAAAAAAAGCACTGAATCCTGCTGAAGTGTTTGAAAGGGTAGCTCCAGTTTCCATACTCGCCCGATCTCTGGTGCTGTCCATGGTAGACTCACCGATACAGCAATTAGGCGCTGCTTCTCTATCTGGTGATCACTAACTTAATTGAGCCCAGGACGTCATGGCTCCACCCCCGGCTGTAGACTCACGGGAGAATGCTGGAGCATTTAGGATTGACAAAGATCCGGTGATGTCATCAGATCCAGCTAAGGACACCTATAAAAAAAAAAATACAGATTTCTTTTTTGATATGTGCACAGGTGGTCTACTGTGGGGTGGAGGGGGACAAGTCGGGAAGGACTTGAGCACTGAGCTGGACTTTAGAGATTCAGAGCAGCAAAGGACAAGATGTGGAATTAGCTTGCACCCAGGCTCAGAACAGGACATGGAGGACTCCTGGAGCAGAGCAGAGCAGTATCAGTATAGTATAGTAGCAGTTATAGCAATTTTGTGTAAAAAAAAAAATAGTTGTTTGGTACTTTGAATCACTGACCGCAAAAAGCATGCAAGAAGTAAAGCCCAGCTCCTGATGTACATGCTTGCTCTAGGTCTATGACAATCTATTGAATCCACGGATTGAGAATATCATTCTCAGAAGGAGAGGTCAGCTGTGAAGGTGTGTTTCTTTCAAAACAGGTTTCCCTAAACTATAGGAGTCACAGAAAGGCAGTAGTAATGAGGATGGGCTTGGTGCGAACCCATTTCTCCTAAATTCGCCCAAGGCCACTGAGAACGTTTTAACCGGTACCCTCTTCTCACCACCCAATCAGTTATGGGAGGCACATTTTCTGTACCATAGCTATATGTCATAAAGGGGTGGGGAATGCCCCTGGCACAACTGCCGACACTAATTGGTTCAGGAGGAGGATCAGCAAGGACGGTCAGAGTTTTTAGTGGACTTTGCTGAACTCGGGTGAACTGGGTACAGAACCAGCCCAGCCTCATCTCTAAAAAGCAGTAAAAAAAACAAAATTTTTTT